AATCTTTTATTTTTGTTTTTGTTTTGAGACAGGGTCTCACTCTGTCGCCTAGGCTGGAGTGCAGTGGTGTGATCTTGGCTCACGGCAACCTCTGTCTCCCAGGGTCAAGCGATTCTCCTGCCTCGGGCTCCTAAGTAGCTGGGACTATAGGCGTGCGCCATCACGCTCAGCTAATTTTTGTATTTTTAGTAGAGATGGGGTTTTACCATGTTGGCCAGACTGTTCTAGAACTCCTGTCTTCAAGTGATCCGCCTGCCTCGGCTTCCCAAAGTGCTGGGATTACAGATGTGAGCCACCGTGCCTGGCCTTAAATCTTTTTAAGACAATTTTTTACTATGGAAATTTCAGAACTATGCAAACATGGAGGAACTAGAATACTGACAGCCGGTGCCACCCCCAGGTTAACAGTTACCCTCAGGCAGCCAGTCCAGGGTCTTCTGTGTCCCCAGCCACTGCCCCTTCCCCTGAGTTATTTTAGGCAAATCCCAGACATCTTGTGATTTCCTCCTCCTTCATCTTCCCGACCCTGTTGGTGCTTAGAGAGTCCTTTGTTATTCCTTTCCAGTCCCCAGCGCGGAAACCAGCTTCCCTTAGCCCGAAGGCAGACCCACCACACATGTGGCGTGGGTGTCGGAGTGTTTAGGACTCCTGTGTATGGGGAACCATCCATGCTGGGTGGCAGCACAGGCCTCTTGCCCCTGGGGGACCGGATTCCCCAGAGGTCTCCCTGACAGCAGCAGAGGAGGCTTCTGCCGCCTGGTTGGGGATCCCTGAGTAGGCAGTTCTCTGCTCCTCTTGAAAATAAACTTCAGCACATTCCTCTTCTGCCTAAACCAGGCAGCTGAGAGCCCTGACTGATTTCAGCAGGGGCGGGGTGTCCATTTTCAGCTTCTGGGTAAACTGTTCCCATTAGTGCCTGTGCCAGTTTGTGTCCACCAGCAGCACTTCTGTTTTCCTATTTCCTATACCCTTTCCAGTACTCAGCATTGCCAGACTTGTCTATTTTTGCCCATTGAAAGCGTGTCAGGCTATTTTTGTTCTGTTTTTTGTTGTTGTTGTTGTTGTTGTTTTAGACAGGGATTTGCTCTGTCACCCAGGCTGGAGTGCAGTGGTGCAGTCATGGCTTATTGCAGCCTTGACCTCCGGTCTCAGGTGATCCTCCTGCCTCAGCCTCCCAAATAACTAGTAGCACAGGGGCGTGCCACCATGCCTGGTTAATGTTTTATTTTTTGTGGCGATGAGGGGGTCTTACTATATTGCCCAGGCTGGGCTTGAACTCCTGGCATCAAGCAATCTTCCTGCCTCAGCCTCCCCAAGTACTGGGATTTACAGGTATGAGCCACTGTGCCCAGACAAGGCTATTTTCTTTAGCCAAGGTGTGTGCTGTTGACTTGCTGTGCTTAGACTTTATCATTTTAGAGATGTTGAGATATTATGTTTATCATTTTCCTCCATTGTTCTGTTGATATATGTACTAACTTGTGTGGTCATCTGGCTGTAATTAGTAAAATTATTTATTATGTGCATATTTTAAGCAGATTGTATTTAGTTTAAATCATCAGCCAGAAAGATGCAAGTTTTTTTTTTTTTTTTTTTTTTTTTTTTTTTTTGAGTTGGAGCCTTGCTTTGTCGCTCAGACTGGGGTGCAGTGGGGCGGTCTCGGTTCACTGCAACCTCCACCTCCCGGGTTCAAGCAATTCTCCTGCCTCAGCCTCCCAAGTAGCTGGGATTACAGGCACCCGCCACCATGCCTGGCTAATTTTTGTATTTTTCTTAGAGATGGGGTTTCCCCATGTTGGCCAGGCTGGTCTTGAACTCCTAACCTCAAGTCATCTGCCCGCCTCGGCCTCCCACAGTGCTGGGATTACAGGCATGAGCCACTGCACCCAGCCCTAAGATGCAAGAATTTTATATGAAAGAAGCATTATTTGAGATAAGCTTAATGCAAAAATCTCTCAATGTTTAGATTATTTTGAGCTTAATGTTAGAAGGCATAGCCTATTCTGCTTAAAGTAATGATTTCTATGGGAACAAGTCTAAGGAACTTAACTGAGAAGCCTTCAGATTATTCATTGAGGAGGCTCTCCTGGGAGACTGGGACCCTTTCTGCGTCTCATGTATCTCTAGATTCTCTTTCCTTACATAGATCTGGGGGTCTACCATGTCCCTGACAGTTCTTGCCTAAACCTTAGAGAGACAAAAGGGCTCTGCTCCGACTGAATTCCTAGAGTGATCAGGACCACCCAGTCTTGGCTTCTTCACCCCTTTCTTCTCTTTATGTTGCCAGTGGAATGTGTCAAATTAGTGACACAATTGCATGGTTTGAAAAACTGAACATAAGTGTTCTGTTGTTGAGAGAGGATTCCAGGCCAGGCCCTGACAATTTAGAGGCCACCCAATGTAATAGAAAGAACAGGTTAGGGAGCTGCAAGCCCTGGTTCTCATCTGGTCCCTGCTGCTGACTTTCACCTAGGACAAGAGTTTGATGACGGATGAGGGTAAAGTAAATTAATGATCACTCAGTTATATTAAAAAATGACCTCAAATATGGAACAAAAAACTTCAGTATCCTCATCATCTTTCATATTTTATTTGGAGATTTCATTTCTAGAACTTTCTCCTAAGGAAGAATTAGATATGTTGAAGGACTAATGTACATAAATGTTCTCTACTGTTATAATTTATCGTGTAAAAGTGGAAGCAATCGACATAACATAACGCACCATAGAGGACTGGTGAAATACACATAGCCACAAGATGACCTAGCATACAGCCGTTTATAATCCTATTTCTGAAAATGGCTTCAAGATACAGGAAAATGTTTATCAGCAGTTATAAAAAGTGGATGGTAGGGTGGACGCGGTGACTCACGCCTGTAATCCCAGCACTTTGGGAGGCCAAGGCAGGCGGATCACAAGGTCAGAAGATTGAGACCATCCTGGCTAACATGGTGAAACCCCGTCTCTACTAAAAGTACAAAAAATTAGCCGGGTTTGGTGACAGGCACCTGTAGTCCCAGCTACTTGGGAGGCTGAGGCAGGAGAATGGGGTGAACCCCGGAGGCAGAGCTTGCAGTGAGCCGAGATTGCGCCACTGCACTCCAGCCTGGGCGATAGAGCGAAGATATGTGTGCATGTGCATGTATGTGTGTCTGCATGCATATGTGCACACATGTGTGAATGTGATGGTACATATGTGTGTGCACACATCCGGGCTTGCCTCTGGGCTGTGTCTACACATATGCTGGACAGACCTCTCTGGGCACCTCTGAAGAAATAATGATCTTGTCAGAGAATGTTTGTCCTTGCAGGAGGCTCAGAGGCTTCCTGGGAGAGAGCAAGCCCTGAAGAAAGGACGGATTAGGACAATTAGGGCAATGAAGTGACTTGCTAGCAACCCCTCAGCAGTCTGGGGGAAGGTCCATGCTGAACAGGTGTGGTGGCTCCTCTCTTGGCACCCATCAGAAGTGTATCTGACCCCTGCAGGTTTCAGGCCTAAACAAGTGCAGAGCTCTGGAAAGCAATGGGTAACTTGCAATCACTCTGATGGCAGGAAATAAAACAAGGGGAGGCTGAGTGTGGTAGCTCATGCCTGTAATTCCAGCACTTTGGGAGGCCAAGGCAGGAGGAGTGCTTGAGGCCTTGAGTTCAACACCAACCTGGCAACATAATGAGACCTAAAAAATTATTTTAAATAAAAAGTTGGGCCGGGCGCAGTGGCTCACGCCTGTAATCCTAGCACTTTGGGAGGCTGAGGTGGGCGGATCACGAGGTCAGCAGTTTGAGACAAGCCTGGCCAACATAGTGAAATCCTGTCTCTACCAAAAATACAAAAAAATTAGCTGGGTGTCGTGGTGGGCACCTGTAGTCCCAGCTACTAGAGAGGCTGAGGCAGGAGAACCGCTTGTACCCGGGAGGCGGAGGTTGCAGTGAGCCGAGAGAGTGCCATTGCACTCCAGCCTGGGTGACAGAGCAAGACTCTGTCTCAAAAAAAAAAAAGGTTGGCCAGGCGTGGTGGCTTATGCCTGTAATCACAGCACTTTGGGCGTCAGAGGCAGGCGGAGCACTTGAGGTCAGGAGTTCCAGACCAGCCTGGCCAACATGGGGAAATCTGCCTCTACTAAAAATACAGGCCGGGCGCTCACGCCTGTAATCCCAGCACTTTGGGAGGCCGAGACGGGCGGATCACTAGGTCAGGAGATCGAGACCATCCTGGCTAACACGGTGAAACCCCGTCTCTACTAAAAAATACAAAAAACTAGCCGGGCGAGGGGGCGGCGCCTGTAGTCCCAGCTACTTGGGAGGCTGAGGCAGGAGAATGGCGGGAACCCGGGAGGCGGAGCTTGCAGTGAGCCGAGATCGCGCCACTGCACTCCAGCCTGGGCGACAGAGCCAGACTCCGTCTCAAAAAAAAAAAAAAATACAAAAATTAGTCAGGTGTGGTAGCGGGCGCCTGTAATCCCAGCTACTAGGGAGGCTGAGGCAGAAGAATCACTTGAACCCGGGAGGCGGAGGTTGCAGTGAGTCCAGATCATGCCACTGCATTCCAGCCTGGGCGATAGCGCAAGACTCCGTCTCAAAAAAAAAAAAAAAAAAAAAAGATTAAAAAAGTTATTCAGGTGTGGTGGCACACGCCTGTAGTCCTAGTCCCAGCTACTGGAGGTGGGGCAAGGGGAGGCTGAGGCAGGAGGTTCACTTGAGCCCGGGAGGTTGAGTCTGCAGCGACCCTGATGGCACCACTTCTCTCCTGCCCGCTGGGCGACCGGGTGAGACCCTGTCTCAGACAAACAAAAGCCAAGGGGCTGCCAGGTGCTGAGGTCTGCAGGTGCTGAGCCAGCGGTCGGGAAGGCTCGCGCGACTCCTCCGATTTGTCGGATGAGCCTTTCAGTAAAGTGAGGAGACTAGACGCAGGCCTGGCAGCCGCTTTTACCTCCCTCCCCCTTACCCTGCGCCCCTGCCCGGCCCGGGGCTTGCTCACCGCCGCCTGTGCTCTCCCCGCAGCCACCCGTGGGACACGGTCATCCAGGCGGCCATGCGCAAGTACCCGAACCCGATGAACCCGAGCGTGCTGGGCGTGGACGTGCTGCAGCGCCGCGTGGACGGCCGCGGCCGCCTGCACAGCCTGCGCCTGCTCAGCACCGAGTGGGGGCTGCCCGGCCTCGTGAGAGCGGTGAGCGGGGCGGGGGCTGCGGCTCCGAGCGCGCCCGAACCCCCCACTCCCGCCCCCGCCCTCCCCCGCGTCCCTCCTCCCCTCGTCGGTCCGTCTGCTGCTCTGGCTGACATCGCGGTGGGAGGGCGGCGGGGGCCTTTCCCGAGATCAGGGGGCTCGGAGTAGGGGGGCAGTGGCAGGGTTTTCTTTGAGATCGGGGGGGGGGCTTGGGGTACGGGGTCGGTGAGGGTGTCTTCTTCGAGATCGGGGGGCGTGGGGTGGGGGATCGGTAGGGGGGTCTTGAGATCAGGGGGTGCTGGGGGGGCTTCCTCAAGATCGGGGGGGCGCGGGAGGCTTTGCCAGGCGCCTGGCGTCTGGCATCCCCATCTGCTCTCCCAAAGGGCCCGAGCGTGCTGGATTAGCACCGCCACACACCCCTCCCCTGGCTTAATCGCCTCTAAAGCCCAGCGTCCGCAGCAAGCCTCATCCTCGGGCACCGGGGTTAGGCTTCACCATGGTTCAGCCCCCCGCGGCCTCTTCCTCAGAGCCAGGGAGGTCACTGGAAATGCGAATCTGAGCACGGCTCACCCCAACCCGGCGCCCGGATCTCGCCTCCACCTGCGGTCCACACCCTGGCCTGGCCCAGGCCCCTCAGTCAGCCCCGCTCCTGCTGCAGGGTCTGCACCTGCCGCCCCCAGCCCAACACCTCCACCCCAGCACTATGGTGGCACCTTCCTCTTTGGGGCTCTGCCCAGACCCCACCCGGCAGAGGGGCCTCCCGGCTCCACTGCCCGCAGCCTGTTGTATTTTGCCGGAAGCATAGTGCTGCCGGACGCTCCACTCTGTTGGAATTCATTTCTTTGCTCAGTGGCTCACCTGCTGGACACAGGGGTTTTGTCTCTGTCCCTTGCTGCATCCCATGATACCATTTCTTGAATAGTGAACTAATTAGTAAATGCAGTGGTATTCGGTGGTGATATGAAACAGAATTTTTAGCGTTCCACTATGCTAGTTTTGCTTTGTTTTTTAGATTTTGGGAACCAGTAGGACTTTGACATACATCCAAGAACATTCTGTGGTGGATCCAGTGGAAAAGAAAATGGAACTTTGTTCCACCAATGTAAGCAATGGCCTCAGATGAGAAAGGGGCTCAGTATGTCTGGGTGGTGGCGCGTAAGGCCTTCGTTTAATTCTATTTCCAGCCCACCTTTGGCCTAGATGTTGATATTTTTCATAGAAAGGCTGAATTTATTTAGCAGTTTATCTTTTTATTCAAGTATAATAAGTATATAGAAAAATGCACATAATGATGAATTGTCACAAAGAACACACCTCTTAACTAGCAGGCAGGTCAAGCAACAGAATCTGACCAGGCCCTGAGACCCCTTGGGCACCCCCCACAGGATAACCGCTGTCTTGACAACCAGCAGACATTTCTGTTTTTTTAAAGATTGGGTCTTGCCCTGTCACCCACACTGGAGTGCGGTGGTGTGGTCAATAGCTCAATGCAGCCTCACACTCCTGGGTTCAAGTGATCCTCCCGCCTCAGCCTCCCAGATAGCTGGGACCACAGGCACGTGCCACCACCCCTGGCTACTTTTTAAAAAATTTTTTTGTAGAGATGGGATCTCGCTGTTGCCCAGGCTGGTCTGGAACTCCTGGTCTCAAGTGATGCCTCCCAACTTGCTTTTTTCTTTTCTTTTTTTTTTTTTTTTTTTGAGACAGAGTCTCTCTCACCTAGGCTGGAGTGCAGTGGATCTCAGCTCCCTGCAACCTCCACCTCATGGGTTCAAGCGATTCTCCTGTCTCACCCTCCCAAGTAGCTGGGACTACAGGTGTGCATCACTAACAGGCATTTTTTTTTTTTTTTCCGAAACGGAGTCTCGCCCTGTCACCCAGGCTGGAGTGCAGTGAAGCGATCTCGGCTCACTGCAACCTCCGCCCCTGGTTTCAAGTGATTGTCCTGAGTAGCTGAGATTACAGCCGCATGCCACCACACCTGGCTAACTTTTGTATTTTTAGTAGAGATGGGGTTTCACCATGTTAGTCAGGCTGGTCTCGAACTCCTGACCTCGTGATCTGCCTCCCTTGGCCTCCCAGAGTGCTGGGATTATAGGTGTGGGCCACCGCTCCCTGCCCCAACAGGCATTTTTAAAGCTACTTCCCCACTTCATTCCTCTCTCACTTCTCTCAATTAAAAAAATGTATATTGGTCTAATGCAAATGCAAAGAACATGTTGGGGAATATGCATGGGCTAGGAAAATTATTTCATAAAATAATCCTTATTTTCAGCAAATATAGAAATGGGCTATGGTGGGTGAAGTCAGCCATGCCCTCATCTGGCCTCCTTTTCTGTCCCCAGTGCCACGGCTGGCTCTAGCCACCACTCATTTACTGGTTCTGCCAACAGTATCAAGTGCCTGCCAGGTACCCAGCACAGTGCTAGGGATGGGGAATGCAAGGATTAAAAGATATTCCCTCCTGACTGGCTCTGTCATCCCACGGTCGGCAGCTAAACAACCTGTGTAGGTGGCAGCGAGCAGGATCCCCCCTAAGTGGCTGTGTGAAGGTAGGTGACAGGGAGCCTGGCAGGACTTCTCCAGACACACTGGCAGTGGGTGCCCTTGAGCCTTAGAGAGCCACAAACAGATGGTGTTGGAGACTAAGAGGGGAAGGTGGTGTGGGAGGGAGGAGGCTGGAGAGGGGCAGGGACGAGACCACAGAAGAGGCAGAGGAGCTGGAGGTCGTTGTTGTGGTAAGAAGGCGCTGAGCGTTTGTTGCAGGAAGGTGAGGTAGCCGGGGTGTGTGTTGGGAAGAATACCTTGGCAGGCTTGTGAAGAGAGGGTGGGCTGGATGTTGGAACCTAAGCCAGGGAGACCAGTAGTCCGGGCAGGTAATTGTCCAGGTGAGAGGTAACAGAGGCCACCTGGTGTGAGACATGGTGAGTGAGGAACGGGAGGCTCATGGTGCAGCTCCACTCTCTGGTTAGGGCACCAGGCTGAATGGTGGCCCATCAGGGACAGGTGTGAGAAGAGAGGTAAGCTTGCTTTGCACATCCCGAGTATGCAGCCCCTGCACAGCAGGCCCTGGAGTGTCCAGCCTGAAGCTGAAGGTTTGGCCAGCAGCGCTGCAGTGAGGGAGGGGCGACCTGGGCCCAGGGGCAGGCAGGGCTGGTGGGCACAGTGGGTAGGGACAGGGCTGAGGAGCAGGTCATCCAGGCGGCCATATGCAAGTACCCGAACTGGTACCTGGGCAGCTCCCCATCTTCTCAGCATCTTGTGGGAGGCCCAGTGTTTGAAACAAAGTGGAGCTGCTCTGGGTCCCGCAGCTCCCCTGCCCCAACCCGAGGGCCTCAGGAGCTCCTATGAGCTTCTCAGGCGGCCGTGGGAGTAGCCCGCCAGGATGCTTGGTGCTGTCGGCCAGCCACACTCTGCCCAGCTGGGGGCACCTTCTGTAGAAGGCAGTGGGTGCGTCCCTGTGTGCTGAGATGAGGCTCTGAGCCACCTGCAGGATGGAGCCTAGCTCCTTAGTGTACTACCTGGACCTCTGCCAGTGTCCCTGGTCCTGCTGGCTCCTTGTCCCAGGCTGCACAAAATCACAGGAGCCTCAGTTGGGGCCCCCTGGCTATTCCTCACAGCTTATGTATTCTGTTCTCTCTGCTCCCAAAATCAGTATTTACTTACAAAATTCCACCTTATGCTTTCAGAAAATTCAGTTGTATGTAAAAAGGAACAGTTTATGCTCCAGTGAAGTCTGATGGAAAGGAAACGGGGTTTGGAGCAAGCCATGTGCTTGCATCCTGAAGCCGTCGCTGGATGACCCGATGACTTGGGGATGCTATTTGCATTTTCTGAGTCTCACATTTCTCGTATAAAAAAGAAAAGAACAAACCTCAGAGAAGTAAGGTTTATGCAACACAGTGACTTGCATAAAATAGTTCACATAAAATGACAACAGCTAATCAGAGTTTAATTTGTAATTGATATTATTAGATATTTCTGTAGCATGAAATGCCCATACACGTGAGACTCTTAATAACCTGGCACTCAGTAGGAGAGAGATTTCCTACTAACCATTTGCACTGGGACAGTGAGGCTGGGGGAGGGATTCAGTGAGAGATGACTGAAAAAAATGAGTGTCACTACAGAAAGGTTAATTTGCTTTTCACTGCTTAAACTTTTTAAAACATGGTCTTTTATCAGAAGTGGCGTTTGAAGAAGAGGGTGAATTGGGTTAAACAATGAAGCAATTCTAGGGCTCTGTTGTCCAGTGTGGCAGCCACCAGAAACATGGCTATTTAATTTTAAGCTATTTATGGCCAGCCCGGTGGCTCACGCCTGTAATCCCAGCACTTTGGGAGGCCGAGGCGGGCAGCTCACCTGACTTCTCTGAGGTCAGGAGTTTGAGACCAGCCTGGCCAACATGGCGAAACCCCATCTCTACTATAAATAGATCGCACCATTGCACTCCAGCCTGGGCAACAAGAGTGAAACTCCATCTGAAAAAAAAAAAAAAAATTAAGCTAATTAGGATAAAATTAAATTAAAAATTCCATTCCTCAGTCACGTGAGCCACATTTCAGGGGTGCATTAGCTGCATGTGTTTGTGGCTACCACATCAGACAGCATGCATAGGACATTACTGTTACCACAGAAAATTGTTAGCGTGGCTCTAGAGCTGCAGTGTTTACATTGCTTTTGATAGAAAAGGTAGACTGCGGTGGCTCGCGCCTGTAATCCTAGCACTTTGGGAGGCCAAGGCAGGCGGATCACGATGTCAGGAGATCGAGACCATCCTGGCTAACACAGTGAAACCCCGTCTCTACTAAAAATACGGAAAAAAAAAATCAGCCGGGTGTGGTGGTGGCGCCTGTAGTCCCAGCTACTCGGGAGGCTGAGGCAGGAGAATGGTGTGAACCCGGGAGGCAGAGCTTGCAGTGAGCCCAGATCGCGCCACTGCACTCCAGCCTGGGCGACAGAGTGACACTCCATCTCAAAAAAAAAAAAAAAAAAAGAAAGTATAAATATTCATAGGGAGTTAGTTTGTTTATAGGAAGTGGGACTGGAAGAGAAAAGAACCCTGCAATCTCCATGTGGATTCAGAGTCTGTCCCATCCAGTCATAGGAGACAGTGCTCCGTGGGCTGCCGTGGGTAGGTGAAAAGGTTTCTCTCACTTATATGAACACACAGGACTTTTTGTCCTTTTCTATAATACAACTTCTGATAGTTTTGGCAGCTTGACTGTACCTTGAAGGCCAGAGCCCTGCTCACGTGTGGAGTGGGACATGGGAAGAAGACAGATGACAGTTGCCAGAAGGAACAGCAAAGCCATGGTTTGCTAGGACTTAATGTGGTCGTATCTCCTATGCCTAAAAGTTTCTTCTGTTCTGACCCCACTAAGTGCTAATTTTGGGATGGAAGAGTATGGGCAGGCAGTTTTGGAAGAAATGCAAGAGAAATACAATCTAAACCTTTTTTTCTTTTTAAGATCACACTCACAAATTTGGTGTCAGTTAATGAGAGGTTGGTGTACACACCTCATCCAGAGAACCCAGAAATGTGAGTCATTTCCTGTGGGACTGACACATTGAATGCCAAGGGTAAGGGCAGGGCAGACCCTCGTCTCTCTCAGGGCTGGTCAGCCCCTTTTCTTCTTGCTCTTTTGCAGGACCGTGCTCACACAAGAAGCCATCATTACCGTGAAGGGGATTAGCCTCGGTAGTTATTTGGAAAGTTTAATGGCCAACACGATATCATCCAATGCAAAGAAGGTATGTACCTCAATCCTAGAAGTCCTGCGTGTGCTCTAGTTGTTAAGTGCCAGATTAAGAAGATGACATTTTTAGTCTCATAAGTCTTCCTGGCTGGACATGTTGGCTCATGTCTGTAATCCTAGCACTTTGGGAGGCCAACGCAGGCGGACCACTTGAGGCCAGGAATTCAAGACCAGCCTGACCAACATGCTGAAACCCCGTCTCTACTAAAAATACAAAAATTAGCTGGGCATGATGGCACACCTCTATAGTCCCAGCTACTCAGGAGTCTGAGACATGAGAATTGCTTGGAGCCATGAGGTGGAGGTTGCAGTGAGCTGAGCCACCACTGCACTCCAGTCTGGGTAACAGAATGAGACTCTGTCTAAAAAAAAAATAATAAAAAATAATAAATAAATAAAATCCAGAGTGCTGGGGCTCTCCATTTGTGCTGAGCTCATAATGCTACAGCATTTCAAAACTCGGGTCAGGAAAGGCTGACCCAGGTCTGAGGGAAGTGCATCTGTGAAAGCCAAGGGAGCCGTAAAGTTACTCTTCTCAGTAGAGAAAGTATGGGGTAAACCTGGAGCGTAAACCCAGCCAAGGCAACTAGCACTTCGAAGAGCCCAAATGTCATAAGCTCAGTTACCAAAGCAAACTAACCCACAACATCAGAGATACCAGGTGTTAACAGTGTCAGGTAGGCTATTCAGGACTTAAGAGTCGTTTCCTATTTGATGGGCATTACCTGGCTTTGGCTGAACCTGTCCAGCAGTGATGCTTCCGTGGGGCCTGCCGCCGCCTTCACAGCTCTTCTCTGGCAGGATTTGGCAGTGAGCTTTGTAGAGGTGAGAGGAGAAAGGATGGATCCCAGGAGGCCATCCATGGCACTCCCTTTGTGTCTAGGGCATTGGAATGGAGGCAGAGATCGTTCTAGAAGTCCAGGTTGCCCTCCTCTCCAGCAGAGTTGATGGAAAGAGCTTGAATGTTTGGGAGGAAGATGTTCCTCACATTTAAAGGATGCCACTTGCCAGAGCAGGGCCTTTGCTTTTCACCTGGGCCCACCTGACAAGCTCATGTCTTCCCTTTGTCTGTCCCCCGTGCCCCTCCCTCTTTCTCTTCCCCCCTTTTTGGGGGTCAGAAGTGAGTCTTCATTTCTGGGATCAGTGGGTGATTCCTAAGGCTGTACTTCCCTTTCCAATGTCCTTCCGTGCTTAACTCGCCAACCAGTGGAAAACCATTTATGGCTTGCGTTTAGTCTCATCACCAACAGAAGAGCCTGTCTATCTAATTTTGTGGACTCCAGATGTGAGAAGTAGAGATTTGAGCAGCTTAGCTCAGTTCAGAGGAGGCAGGGCCATGAAGGTCAAAGCGGGAGAGGTTTGTCCATGCTGGAGGAAGGAGCCCGGGTCTCATCCATCGTTTCCAGTGCTTGGTTTAGGGCAGAAGCCCTAAATGTTTGCCAAACAAAATATTATAAGAGGAAGGGAATATTCAGTGAGGCCGCAGCTACCTTAGATCTTTTATGTGAAAAACTTGGGGTAAACTCAGTGAGGACAAATTGGCTTTCCTTTATTTCACTTTATTAGGGGTTGTGTTGAAGGCTTAGGAGAGAATCACTGCTTCCCCTAGCCTGGTGGGGAGAGGTGTTGTGCCTGGAAACAGCGGAGCGGCCTGAGGGCAGGTGCAGGGGATGGGGTTGGGGGTGTGTGGAGGTGTCGCCCTGGGCTTTCCTGGCTTCCTGGGGCAGCCTCAGCACTGGGATTTGGGAGGTGAGGGACAGGACTTGCTATACTGAGCTCAGCGGGGCGCTGGTTTGCTAACACAGCAGTGATGCTTAGGCACTGTTTTCCTTCCCCTTTCTGAGCTGGAGGAACTGCCTGCCTGTGTGAAGATCACTTGGAAAGGTCACTGCTGTGTCTCCTTGTAACTGCAGCGCTTCCCTTCTGCAGTTTAGCCCGTGGACTTGTCCCTTGCTGTCTGCAGCGCGAGGCGGGAGGGCCCACTCAGTGCTGAAATCTTTCTGTGTTGCAGGGGTGGGCGGCTATCGAGTGGATAATCGAACACTCTGAAAGCGCTGTGAGCTAAGGAGGCCTGCGCCCGTGCTTGTGATAAATGGTGGTGAGTACAGTATTCACTCACCTAGGGGGGCCTTGCAGCCCCTTGTGACCCGTGTGCATGGTGCACATGGCGAGGGGACGCCGGAAATATGCAGCTGCTGGTGGCTCTCCAGCCCAGAGCTCCTTAGTTTTCCACGGTGACACAGAATCACTGGGTTCATCTTTCTATTTCATTCCTTGCTTCGTGGCAGGATCTAGATTCCAAGGCCATTTCCTTTTAGCAGTGAAAGCCTTTTCTGGCATTTCCTTGAGCTTCACAAACATTGCTTGGCGTCCTGGGCCATCAGCGGCTGGACTTCTAATGGCCCTGCCCCGATGACCAGCGGCCACCAGGGCCTGCTCCCTCGGGAGGATGCGCCTCCCACCAGAGGCTGCGCTGCGCTGCTCTGGGCCGCTCGTCCCCATCTGTCCCCATCTGTCCCCTGTGTGTGTGGCTCCAGGGATCCTTAAGAACTTCGTGCTGATTTTGCTCGAGTCACTGAAGCCATGCTTTGCTCTCCTTGAACCCGAGCCAGGGGGCGGCCTTGGGCCTCGCCTCCTTCGTGGCCGTACCCTGGGTTCAGCGCCTGTAGGGCGCTCCCTTGCCTGGCGGCCTGTGTCTGTGTGGTGAGTGGTGTGTGCTGTGTGGTGAGTATATATGTGTGTGTGGTGAGTGCGGTATGTGGAGTGTGCATGGTATGTATATAAGTGTATGTGGTGTGGTGTGTGTATGCCGTGTGTGCGGTGTGCATGTGCTGTGTGTGGCGTGTTGTATTTGCTGTGTGTACTATGTGTGTTGTATGTATATATGTGGTGTGTGTGTGTGGTGTGTGTGTATGCTGTGTGTGATGTGCATAGGTGTGGGGTATGTGTGATGTGTATATATGTGTGTGTGGTATGTGGGGTGTGTGTGGTGTGAAGTGTGTGCTGTGTGTGATGTGTATATGTGTGGTGTGTGCTCTGTGTATGTGATGTGTATATGTGTGTGGTATGTGTCGTGTGTGCATGTTTGTATGATGTGCATATGTGTGATTTGTGTGTGCTGTTATGTGATGTGTATGTGTGGTGCATGTGCATGTGTGTATGCTGTGCATGTGTGTGATGTGTATTGTGTGCTGTGTGTGATGTGTGCATGTCTGTATGATGTGCATGTGTGTAATATGTGTGATGTGTATGTGTGTGGTGTGTGCATGTGTGTAAGATATGCATGTGTGTGATGTGTGTGTGTGGTGTGTCATGAGTGTGGTTTGTGTCTTGAGTGTGGTGTGTGGTGCACCCTCTGCCCCTCTGCGAGCTGACCCCGGTGTCTCCGCAGATGCTTCCCAGAAGAAAGGAAAGAAGCAGGTGAGGAGGTGAGGAGAGGACGAGCAAGGACCGGACGGAAGAGCGCGTCTGGCTGCGAGGGCGCGCAGGGCCGGGGAGGAGGATCGGGCTGGACTCATCGCGGGTCGCAGGTGACCCCGGGACTGGACGTCCCTCCCCTCATGAGCGTGCAACAGGGAGCAGCCCCAGCCAGCCCCGCCGCCGCCGTCTGCGTGGATGGAGGGCGCGAGGCCTTCGCCCATGTCCCTTAGGGGTGGCGCCCATCACCTTGCCTGCCATGGTGGCCCAGGCCCTTCTCTCCCTGCAGGTGGCCCGTGCCGCCCCCGCCCGCCCGCGCTGTCCTCCACTCAGGCCCGTCCACAGACGCTGGGGGGTTGTGCCGCCCTCCGGCCTTTCCCCCACCCTTGCCTTTGCCGCCCTCCGGCCTTTCCCCCACCCCCGCCTTTGCCGCCCTCCGGCCTTTCCCCCACCCCCGCCTTTGCCGCCCTCCGGCCTCTCCCCCACCCCCGCCTTTGCTGGCCTCGGACGGGCTCTCACTGTGGGGCTCACGGGGCCTGGGGCCGTGGCTTTCTTCTTGGCGCCCAAATGCCTTTCCTCGAGTGGCTAAGCCTCTCCTGACGAGGCTCCTCACGCGGGGAGAGGGCTGGGGTCCAGGGGTCTCCGGGCCTTTTCTGCAGGCTGTGCCGGCCCCCTCCAGCCTGCCCCTGCCCTGGGGACATCCTGTGCCCAGGCTGGAGGCCCCGCCTCGCTGCTGGCCAGCCTCACCTGCTGGGGCTGGAGGCCTTGGATCCCTCACAGCATCCGAGGTTTGAGTTCCTGTTTTTCTCCTTGCAGGGACAACGCCAAAGTTCTTTTTCCCACCATGTTTAAATCAAAGTTGTTTAAAACAACATTAATTTAAAAATATATATAAAAGCAACCCATGCTTATGGTTAAAAAAGAAAGTACAGGAGTCTGGAGTCCGTTGGAGGGTAAAGGATTCCCGCGCTGCCAGTGGCTCTTTTTCGCAAAGACTGCCGGAAGTTTTCTGTGCTTATGAAAGTGTGTGTGTGGCCTTTCTCTTCCCTTCCTTTATTAAACACAGATAGGCTCATGCTGGATAAGCCGTTTCGTGTCTGTCTTTTTTCTGCGTTTAAGCAGCGTCATCTTGAGTGGAGCTGCCGGTGCGCGGTCCCTGTGCCGCCTTCCCCGGGACGCAGCGCCCTTGAGCGGCCCCTCTTGCTCCCGCAGCAGCTCTGTAATGTCCCAGTGGGAATGGTCTAGAACTTGTCAACCTGGTGGTTCTGCTCTAGACAGAAACAAGGAAACATGGGATCTGGAAACCGTCTCTGAAGCAGGGTTGGAGCGAAAGGGTCGCACACTGGCTGGGGCACGCAGAGGTCCCTGCATATTTTGGGGGTACGATCACATTTTTTAGGCGAAGACAGTTGTAAATGTCAGACTCCAGCCACTTCAAACCTTTGGTGACCAAAGTGGGGTAAAAACAAGCACCTGCGTGCGTTGTGGTTATTCTTATATATATATTATATATATGCACTATATATACATTTTAAGAAGTTTTTCTTGAGGTGGTCAGTTCTTAAACCGAGGAAGTAGTAGTAGTTGATTTTAATTAGTGTAAAGTTGTTCGTCTTCGTAACTTCTGTGTTGGCTGGAAATAGGTTCATTCTTTGTTTTGAAAAGGAGTCAAGCGCAGTGGTGAGAAGGGGAAGAGGAGACAGGCGGCTCCAGCCGCGACTGAACGGCAGCCAGAGGCCGCCCTGCCCCGCTGGCCAGAAATGGACTCAGGGCGCACGTGCAGCTCTGTCCGCGAAACGCGCATCTGCACGGAGGTGAGTGTGGTCTGATCAGGCAGCAGGGAGCTCGCTTGGGAAAACTGCGCAGGGCTTGGCCTCCGTGGCCCAGCGGTGTTTGTGGGGCGCCGCGCCCCGCACTGGGAAGAAACGCCCCCTCGGGCGGCCTTTTGCTCCCGTGAAGCCCGCAGGCCGCGGCCCTGAGGACACCCGGTGCCGCTCGTGCGCGGGGTCCGGGACTCCCGCCGGCAGGAATGGATGGCAGTGAACTCGCTGCCTCTCGGCCTCAGTCTTTTGTTTTTTTGAGACAGGGTTTCGCTGTGCGGCCTCCGCCTCCTGGGATCAGGTCGTCCTTCCGCTTCAGCCTCAAGAGTAGCTGAGACCACAGGCGCGCGCCGCCACACCTAATTTTTTTTTTTTTTTTTGAGGCGGAGTCTCGCTTTGTGGCCCAGGCTGGAGTGAGCGGCGCCATCTTGGCTCATGCAAGCTCCGCCTCCCGGGTTCCCGCCATTTTCCCGCCTCAGCCTCCCGAGGAGCTGGGACCACAGGAGCTGCCACAGCCGGCTGATTTTTCGTGTTTTTAGTAGAGACGGGGTTTCACCGTGTTAGCCAGGATGGTCTTGATCTCCTGACCTCGTGATCCGCCCGTCTCAGCCTCCCAAAGTGCTGGGATTACAGGCGTGAGCCACCGCGCCCGGCCAGTATTTTATTTTATTTTTTTTAAAGGCGGGGTCTCAAACTCCCGGGCCCAAGCCATCCTTGCACCTCAGCCTTGTCCCCAAATGCTGGGACCACAGCTGTGTGCCACCTCTTGGGGTCGCAGCCTCTCCCAGAGGCGCCCCTGCGTCTCCCGTGAACAGACAGAAACGGGCGTGCCCCTCCCGCCGCACTGCTGTCCTTCCCGGTTTCTGGTGAGTGCTGCCCCCATTTTCCAAACACAGGCCCGAGTCCCCGGCCGACGTCTTCCTCCTGCCTTTCCCCTGGGGCTGTTTGGACATCGCACCTTCCTCTTGGCTGAGTTCTGGGTTTCCCTGCCCTGCTCTGCTGCGCGTACTCGTCCCTGGCGTTGCCACTCCTGACCTCGCCCGCGTGTCGCGTGCCCGCTGCAGAGGCCTGGCCCGGGGCCCGGGGCCCGGGGGGGGGGTTAGTCCAGAGATGCGTGGCGCGAGCCCCGCCGGCCGCACGTGGTCCCTCTGCCAGGCTTGGAGGACCCTGGAGGGGCCCTCAGAGTGGCCACCGCGGACGCCATCCTCCAGCCGGGTGCAGCCCCCGGAGGCTGCGGGTCCCGCTGCCGTCTCCGCTGCCACCTCGTGCGAGGCCCCGGCCGGGATCCCGGCCAGAGCTGCCCCCGAGGGCCTGACCCACCTAACCCGCGAGATGACAAATGCTCGTGACCGTCAGTTACTCAGGCGGTGAACTCATCGCCTCCTACTTGTCTGCAGGCCCCTTCCCTTTGGCCTCGCTCTCGTGCTGTCCCACTTCTTACCCTGCTCCAGAAATATTCCCGTCATAATGTCCCCGATTAGAAAGGTAGGGAGGGGGCGGGGCGCGGTGGCTCTCACCTTAATCCCAGCACTTTGGGAGGCTGGAGGCCGAGACGGGTGGATCACGAGGTCAGGAGATCGAGACCATCCTGGCTAACACGGTGAAACCCCGTCTCTACTAAAAACAAAAGAAACTAGCCGGGCGCGGTGGCGGCGCCTGTAGTCCCAGCTACGCGGGGGGCTGAGGCAGGAGAATGGCGGGAACCCGGGAGGCGGAGCTTGCGGTGAGCTGAGATCCGGCCGCTGCACTCCAGCCCGGGGACAGAGCGAGACTCCGTCTCAAAAAATAAAGAAAGAAAAAAGGAAAGAAAGCTAGGGAGGATTCTTGTCCCTTTCTGAAAAAGGTCAAAAGCAAGGCCGAGGCGCCGGCACGGGTGACTGATGCAGCGGGCGGCGGTGGCCGCTCCGAGCCCAGCCTCAGCTCTGCGGAGCTGTCCCTGGCCGGCGCCCGCCCACCATGACCATCAATTCCTAGAGATTTATGTTGCCTTCAACTATTTTTTAAAACTATTCGCATATGTATTTGACCAGCCTGGGCTCAAAGTTCTTCCGTGCCAGGGCCGATGTCCTGCTTTGCCCTCACGGTCCTGGGTCTTCTCTAAGGGCTTTGGTGACTGGAGAACCGCCTGGAGTCAGAGCTGCCCGAAGGCGGCTAGAGGGCAGCTGCAGCCTCAGCTTGATGCCGGGCTAGTGGTTTCACCTTAAGCAAATGACCACCTTATTATTCCCAAGTTTTGCATCTGTGAAAGGCCGTTAATAGCAACTGTGTGAGAGGTGAGTGTGGGAGGAGAGAATGGGATGCTGAGCAGGATGCTTGCTGTACAGTAAGCCCTGGAAAACCGGCAGTGGTCAGCTACTGAAAAGCAGAGTTTCTAAAACTATGTATTAATAGTAACATAAGCATAGAATAACATCATAAAGTTTATTTTCATATTTTTCCTTATTTTATTTGCCAAATAACATGACACATTTGAAAGTTTAATATTTACTTCAGCCTAACTGGTATAAAATCGTTAATCAAACTTTAACACTCATTTTTGTTTAAATTTAAGGGGTACAAACGCAGTTTTTTGGTTTTGTTTTGTCTTGTTTTGAGATGGAGTCTCACTCTGTCATCCAGGCTGGAGGGCAGTGGCATGATCCTGGCTCACTGCAACCTCTACCTCCCAGGTTCAAGCAATTCTCCTGCCTCAGTCTCCCAAGTAGCTGGGATTACGGGTGTCCGCCACCATGCCAGGCTAATTTTTGTATTTTTAGTAGAGATGGAGTTTCACCATGTTGGCCAGGCTGGTCTAGAACTCCTGACCTCAAGTGATCTGCCTGGCCTTGGCCTCCCAAAGTGTTGGGATTATAGGCATGAGCCTGGCCAAATGCAGTTTTGATACATGGATCTGTCACGTAGTGGAGTCTGGGCTTTTAGTGTACCCATCACCCAAATAGTGTACATTACACATTAAGTTATTTCTCACCTCTCACCTCCCTCTCACCCTCGGAGTCTTCCAATGGGCATATACCACGTGTTCTTTAGCCATTCGTCCACTGATGTACATTCAGGTTGATTATGTCTCTGCCATTGTGAATAGTGCTGCAATAAACAAAATTGCAGGTATTTTTATGATTTATTTTCATAAAAAAAATTTCATAAAATAAATTTATGATTATTTTCCTTTGTGGGATTTTCAGAATCTATTTCAGAATCTATTTTCAGAAGTGGGATTGCTGCATCAAAAATTAGCCGGAGAGACAGTTGTGCCCTCGTGTCACTTCCTCCCATTGCTGACTCACTGGTGCTGCCCGTGGGGCTCTGCAGAGCACGCCTGCTCCCCCTGCCAAGTGGCTCCCTCACATCACCCCTTCCTTCCCACTCCTCCCTGCAACACTTCCCACTACTTATACCTTCTGCATTGTATGGTGATGTGTGCCTGTAGTCCCAGCTACTCAGGAGGCTGAATTAGAGGCTGTCGTGAGCCATGATCAAACCACTGCACTCCAGCCTGGGCAAGACAGTGAGACCCTGTCTCAAAAAAGCTAAAACAAAAGAAACCAGAAAACTCCATACTATTTTCCACAGAGGTTGTAGTAATTTGCATTCCAACCCACAGTATATAAGCATTCCCTTTTCTCCACATCCTTGTCAATATCTAATTTTTTTGCCTTTTTTTTTTTTTTTTTTTGAGACGGAGTTTCACTCTTGTTGCCCAGGCTGGAGTGCAATGGCACAATCTCGGCTCACCAGAACCTCCACCTCCTGGGTTCAAGCTATTCTCCTGCCTCAGCCTCCTGAGTAGCTAGGATTACAGGCATGCACCACCACACCTGGCTGATTTTTTTGTATTTTTTTTTTTAGTAGAGACAGGGTTTCTCCATGTTGGTCAGGCTAGCCTTGAACTCCTGACCTCATGATCCGCCCGCCTTGGCCTCCCAAAGTGCTGGGATTACATGTGTGAGCCACCACACCCAGCCTTGACTTTTCAATGATAGTCATTTTGACTACCTTGAGATGGCATCTCATTGCAGTTTTAATGTGCATTTCTCTGATGATAGTGATGTTGAGCATTTTATTTATTTTATTTTATTTTTATTTTTATTTTTTTGAGACGGAGTCTTGCCTTGTAGCCCAGGCTGGAGTCCAATGTCGCGATCTCAGCTCACTGCAACTTCCGCCTCCCGTGTTCAAACGATTCTCCTGCCTCAGCCTCCCGAGTAGCTGGGATTATAGGCACCTGCCACCATGCCCAGTTATTTTTTGTATTTTTAGTAGAAATG